TTAAATAATAGAATTGTTTCTCACTGAACATTTAGCTCATAAGATATTACGATGTAATGGACCGGTTGGGTGGCCGGTTCAACCGAATCGGCCATCCCTTCTATTAAATTCGCAACCCCATAAAGAGGGTCAGTTTTTGCGAATCAACATGAGGGGGCAGAGCGGACTCCACGCGAAAGAGGATTTAGAGGATTTCTTTCGGTCAATTTTAGTAATCCAACGTGTTTGGGGATAAGAATTAATGACTCATTTTCATTCCTATTGTTAAATGAGTGATAAATTTGGAGGAAGTTTCAACGAGCAAGAGGAACAACGAGGGAAAGAGAAAAAAATTGTTTGTTTTTCAATTTTGGTAGAAATTGTTTCTAATTTTTTTCTCTAATTAGTGGAGACATTAAATTGAAGATAAGGAAGACATTTGGAAGAGAGGATAAGAGATTTGTGAGGGAGAATAAGGAAGATTTTGGGATTTGCAAAAACTCCTCGTTGTAAGTAAAATTCCTTTTAAATAAATTTTTCTTAGATTTATTATTAAATTTTTTTTAGAAAATTTTATTGTTTAATTTTAGTAATTTTAAATGGAAAGAAAGCAAAATGTTGGCGTGAGATCTTTAAGAATTCATCAATAAAGGAAACATGTTGCGAGGTATGGAAGATATGCTCGTCAATTGATACATACTGCAAAAGAACAGTGTCACTGATTCTTATCTGGATTGAAAGATGAGCAACCTCTTGTTCCACTTAGAATTGAAGATTATTCAGTATTGGTTGAAAGGGCTAAGAGGTAAAAAATGGACTTGCAAAACACTCAAAGGAGACGTGACTTTCAAAAGAAAAAATGTGGTGAGATTATAAAAACTTCTCAAGATTCATATAGCAAACAATTTTCACAACCTGGGAAGTATAATTGGAAGAATATTAAGTCCAGTAGCAGTAACAGTTCAAGTGTGAACAGTTGCACCAAATGTGGAAGGCAATATAAAGGAGAATGTTTATCTGGTACAAAAACTTGCTTCTGGTGTCATCAACCAAGTCAAATAGCCAAGAACTGTCCTACTTTGGGGCAAACACCAGCAGGAGAATCAAGGTTAACCACTGGATCTCAAAAAAATTTTGGAAGACCAAGAACAGTAGAATCAACTGTTTCTACTCCAGGATCAAGTCAAAGACGACAGAATACTCTGCCTAGAGTATATGCACTGACTCAGAAGGATGCTAAGGATTCACCTGAACCGATTAGAGGTAATAAAAATAAAAAATGAATAAATGTGTATTAAGAAAACATTGTTAAAAGAATAATGTATGTTTATGTTATTTTTTTAATGTGAATTTATAGGTATGGTAACAATTCAAGGAAAGCCTATACATATCCTTTTTGATACAAGAGCCTCACACGCATTCATTTTAGATAACAATCACTATTATTGGGCTATGATACCACTTTTGTCATTGAAATTTTTAATTTAACAATTTTTTCTATTGTAGTTTATAATTACAAAATGATTTGATAACCAATGCATTACTAATATCATATCAAACTCTTATAATGATAAAACATTCACTATTATGTGAACTCTTTTTCATTTATTTGAAAGTCACTTGGCATATACAATTAACATTCATAATATACACACTTAGCTATGTGACCTAGTTGATGACACCATAGCAAGTGTTTATACCAGATAGACATTCTCCTTTATAACATTTTCCACATTTGCTGCAACTATTCATGCTTATTCGACTGTCATTGCTATTGGACTTTGTTTTCATCCAATTAAACTTCTCAACTTGTGAAAGAAATTTGTTATTTTAATCCTGAGAAGCTCCCCTAACCTCACCACTTTTCCTCTTACGAAATTCACGTCTCCTTTAAGTATTTTGCATGTCCATTTCTACCCTCCTAGCTCTCTCCACCAACACTGAATAGTCTTCAATCACAAGTGGAACAAGAGGCTACTTAATTGCATTCTTCAATCCAGATATGAATCGATGACATTTTTCTTATGTAGTACATGTTAAGTGAGAAGCATATCTACACAATGTGGTAAATTCAACATCATACTGCATAATTGATCTATCTCCCTGCAGCAATCTCATAAATTTATCATGCACTGCCTCCATGTAAAAAGAGGCGCAAATCAATCTCTAAATACCTGGAAAAAGTCATCCCACTTAATTGCTATGTTAGATATTCCTCCAAATTTGTTTTGATGTTGATCCCACCACTACCTTTCAGCTTCTCCATCAAGGAGAGAACATTCGCTCTAAAATTTTCTCAATCCTTAGCAACCAATTCTCAACCTCAATTGGTCCTTCTACTCCCTTAAATAAGGGTGGTCTCATATCCTGAAACAGTTTTTAAATAATTACCATAGTCTTTACACCACCACCACTACTCCCTGATTTCTTGAGTCTTAAATCAACTGAGTCATAAATGTTATCATTTGTAATAATGCATCAAGGTTAACAACAACATTACGCAGTGTCCTTTCCACTTTGACATCTTCATAATCATTTTATTTCCTGATATAAAAATATTTTTTTTACAAATCCATAACTTAATCTTAAATCAATAATAATCATCATAATGGCCATTTCAGTATCATTCATATCATAATTGGGCTATGATACCACTTTTGTCATGGCCCGGCCAGGACACTCGAATTAACGAGGCAGAAACAAAAAATAATCGGATGTTAGTAACATTTCATTTCTTTCATAAGCAAATTAATATAAAACTTCTCAATACAACTAAAAAGCCACTATTACAAAAATATTCTATAAAATATATTCATATCACTTTTGTCAAAACTAAGTATTTACATTAGTCATAATTTACTTGTTTTCATTGGTGCGCCGTCTTCTATAGACGTACTCTTCCCTTTCAGTCATTTCTAATTCTCAAAAAACTTACATAAAAATAATTGTTTAATAAAATGAGTTTACAAAATTAACTCAGTGGATAACTTCTATATGTATAACAATTAAACATGTATAAAATACAATAAAAATAACCTTTGATACATGTCTATTCATTTAACATTTGATATGCATTTCATTTGTTTATTTTATTTCATTTCATTCATTCATTTATACATTTTATATCATATTGATTTATAACATTTATAACACTTTAACACGTATTTTTTTTCCAATTTAATTAGTACAGGAGCACCATCTAAATGTACTGAAGATACATCCTATTTCTATTTAACGTGCACAGGTACGTTGCTTCCCCAGCTAGTGCCATACGATAGTGGACTCCTGTAATTTGCATGCATATCCATTTCCCTTTATCATTCATTCAGTTATGCTTTTCTTTATAATATAAATCATATCATTCATTTGCTTATTTTTTTCTTGTATTCTTATGTATATAACTATATCAAATATATTTCAACTTTCTATTTTCTTTATATATACATTTCAACTTCACTTTTTATTGTCTTTACATTTTTTTTCCTTATATATTTATATCCATAATATCAGGTATATGAATTTATTTAATATAAAAGTTCATCATCACATATGCATTTGAATCATCGAGCATAACTGCATAACAACATGAAAGGACAACAATAAAAATGTCTATACACAATGGTAATATAACCACTTTGAGTCTTTCAAATGACTGGTGCATGGTACAATCTCAAACCTCGATTTTCCTTTCTAGCTGAATTCTTGTTGAATCAAACTCCTATAAATTTTGATCTCTTCCCTTATAAAATCTCTAAAATAAAACAATAAAGATTTTCATGAAAATATAATTTAATAAAAATTATACAATAAAAATTCACTTACAATTGAGGATTTTCTAAATCCAAAATCCTTCTTTTTTCTCTCTCAAAATCTCCTCCTCGCTTTCAAATCTCTTTCTTTTCCCTTATGAAAGTATCTCTTATTTTAGATGTAGTAAAACAGGACGATTTATCCAGAGATGGGAAAAAGAAAAATCAACAAACCTTTTTCATTCTTCTTCTCGATCATTCCTCCTGTTCGCTGTGGTTTCCTTCCAACTTTCCAATTCTTTAGTGATGGAAATGAAAAAGTAGTTAAGAGGAGTTGGTAAATTTTATCCCCAAACGAGATTGTTCGCTCAACATAGCGAAATGAACTCTCCAAACCCTTCCGCGCCCAAGTTAGGTCCGCTCCAGGTCATGGTTTCGTCTCCTGTTAGCTCGTATGATCGCAGTTTAATATAAGGGTTGGCCGGTTCAGCCAGTTAAACCGATTATTATAGGGATCTCCAAGTGTGGATCTAAGGAGGACTAGATGCCTTACCCCTAAAATGTGCAAACTATTTACAAGTTTCAAACTTGTGACCTCCGCTTTATGGTGCCAAATGTTGGCCATTAAAAGAGAAGCATAATACTAAATTAAGTGTTGTAGAGATGAGGATGCTAGGTGGACAAGTTACTTGACCCTTAGAAATAGGATACGAAATGAGCATATACGTGAAAAGTTTGGAATAGCTCCAGTGGAAGATAAGATTAGAGATAGTCGCCTTAGATGGTTTGGTCACATTAAACAGAGGCCTTCCGATGACCCGGTTAGGAAAGTTGAGGTATTAGATTTAACCAATGTTAAGAAAGACAAAGGTAGACCTAAAAAGACTTGGTTAGAAAATATTAGAAATGGTCTTTCTTTATTAGATTTAAATGAGAATTTGACTTTTAATCAGACACAATGGTGAAAAAGGATTCATGTAGCCAACCCCACGTAGTGGGACAAAGGCTTGATGTTGTTGTTGTTATTGTTGTAAACTTGTGGCCTCCATGTCACAATGGATCCTAATGGATCCAACCTAACTACTGGTCCTAAGCTCACTCTCTATGACAATTTTCAATAGGAAATAAAACGGTTCATCACTTATAATTTAAGTTTTGTTTTGACATTTTTTACCAATACAAAGTCGCATCTCATTCATGCAGATGCTTAAGCGTTGAAAAGATATCGCACTCAAACATCATCAACTAATTTCATTCAAGAAAAATACATACCTTCTCAAAAACACGAAGAGCTAAGTAAGCTTGCATTTCAAGCTGCAACCTGAAATTGGTCAACTTATCATAAGACGGACAGAAATTCAATGATGCAACAACTTGGAAATTAATGAAAACTTACCTACGCTTCTGAAATAGAATGAACTTTAGGGCCTTAAGATGGGGCTGAGTTAAGAGTGAGAATAAAGCGATCCAATGATTTTTCCTATCAGTTACGGATAGGGAGGATGGGAACAAATCCCTTGTAATAACAAGCTCCATGTTTTGGGCCCTATGAATCTCATATTAGAATAATCTTAACTCCAAGAGATATAATGAAGCTGCAGAAAATCATACCTGAACTCCTTACAGTCTTTATCAAAGCAGAGCATAAGCACCGCACCAGGAATATTTTCATAAGTAAAATTCAGACTGAAAAGCCCATTGGAGCACTTAATACAATAAACCCTGTACAGCTCCAGAAGACTTTGCATTGCACTTTTCCTCACGGAGATCTAAAGGCACATGATGGATGAAGACAACCAAAGTGAGTATGATTGATTTCAATGGAAAAGAAGAGAACTTTTATAAGCAAAATCACCTTCTTATCACGTAAACGTTTTATGGCTTTTAGCACAAACTCTGATGAAAAACATGACAGATTGGAGCTGGCTAGATTACAAATTACCGAAATAGCTTGAGTTCTCACTTTATCATCAAAGTCTAAAAGCCTTCCCTCCACAGCAACTAAATCAAATCATCAGGAAACATAAAAGAGCAGAATTACAAGATATATCAACGAAACAGAAAAAAGGGAAATTTTAGAGAGTTGATTTACCAAGAGTACAGCGTGCTTCATCTGCAGAGGCATTGGCCTGATAAACCGCCTTTGCCCATTCTAGTGAAGCGAGTCTTACATCAGCAGACTTGTCAGAGAACCTTCTCAAGAACTCTGAATAAACTGGTCGGTGCTCCCGACCAAAATTGAGTTTAGATAGAACCATAAGCTTCCCAACTAACTGAACTGCCTTCATGCGTGCATCCACTTGATCAATCTATTAAGAAAATAATACAAAATCGAATATAGTTATAAAAAACAAAGAAAAGAAAACACTCAACAAATGTAAGAGTATCACATACCAGCAATTCCTGAGTCAACAATGGCAATATAGAAGTAAGAATTTGAGGAGCATACTGATAAATTTTGAGAAAAACTTCATGATAAGAGCTTCTAAGTTCAGCTACGGGAGCATCATTCTCCAACGCATCGTCATGCTCATTATCACCATCAAAATTACAACTATCAGTCTCGTGACGCTTATCAACATTATACTTGTCCAGCATACAGGAAGTCAAAAAGCTACAGACATGGGTCTCCAACTTTGGCGCACAATCTTGGATGACAGAAACAGCAAGCCTGAATGATGCAGCCTGGGAACATGATCGAAAAGGAGAAGCAGCATGGTCATAGATATGCAAAAATTCAATCAACATCTATGGAACAATAAAAATGAACATATGTATCAGTAAAACAACTTCACAAAATAAAATAAACAGTAAATTACACATGTAGCCTCAACATACAAGGGTTGCTTCATGTTGTTACAGGTATTAACAAACCTCACACTTTGGTCACACATATATGATGTATTTCAGTATTTCACTAATAAACATGTTACTTACGAGCATCAAAAATATCCTGAAATTTTATGCCTCCTAGTTTTGCCCCAAGCAAAAAGTCTTTACCGTGGGTGCCTGAGACAATAAAGGTGATGATGATAAGTGGTCAAATAACTGCTAGTGTTGGGCCTCAATCTGGCTCATGCATATAGAGACACCATGCTGCAGAACAGGTTAGCTTGTGCCCATCTAGAAAACTGGCAAATTATCTTTAGAGAGCTCACTCCGAATTCGGAAGCTAAAGATCCTCCTCGATATCACAACCACAACCACCTTATATAGCTAGCAACAATCAAGACTAACATGTATCCTCTCCACTCTAACCTATCCCTTTATTCATGTTGGTATTCATTGAAATAATCTTAAATCTATGGCTAAAACCTTTCAATCTACAACTGTACAATTAACGCCCATGCCACTAAAATTATAATTTATAGAATTGCAAATAGTCACTATCAAAAGTGGCTAAAATAGATCCAATCATTCTCTCAAAAGATTTAACAATCGATTTGTGCTCAACATAGATTATAATTTACTATCAATTAGCAAATTCACTCAAGAAAAAAATTGTGTTGCTAATTTCTCATAAAATCCCTCACTTTCAATACTTGGGCTCAAGGAAGATGATCGACAATGTTCAGAACTCTAGCTTCAAAATAATGATCCCCTTAGTAAGGAAAAATCTAAAATAATGAGTCATGTTTCCACCAAAACCCTCATTTCAAACTACAAACAAGCTTCAAATAATGATAGTGATGTCACACTGAAACCATCTCTTAAGATAACTAAACTTTAATTACATTTAAAATTAATCTCTTCTCTACTTAGAAAATAGCACTACAGTTGTCCCAAGCCCTGGATGAAAAAAGTGGAGGGTTGCATTAGGTAATCGCAACCAACATAAAACTTGTCGAATAATCATGGCATTAATCATTTAATACATTGTATTAATACTAAGACGTTCCTTAGAAGAAACACATTGTATGACTTGAATATAGTAAAATGTGTGCAAAGGCCATTGCACAGGCGCCTAAGTTAAATAAGCATTCAGGTCATGCAAAGGTCATTGCACAGGGGCAACATTAAATAAGCAAGAGGTTCATATCATGGATGAAAGTGGGCAAAGAAGTTAGTCTATGAAATTAGAATTAGGATAATAACTTGGAATATAAGTATTCTCACAAGCAAATTAATAGATATTATAATTCATAGGAAGATAAATATTCTAAGTATTTAGAAAAAATAAATGGATGGGAGAAATGGCTAAAAAGATTGAAAGCTTAGGATTTAAAGTTTAATATTCAGGTAGACATCATATTAGAAATGGTGTATATGTACTCATAAATAAATATGAGTCTGATGAATAATGTTGTAAAAATTAATATAATAACTTTAAAGATTATTATTAATGCTAAGATTATTAATACTATTAGTATTTATACTCCTCAAGTTGATTTGGATATTTGTTCAAAATAAAAAATTTAGAATTATTTAGGAGAATCAATATTAAGAATACTCTTGAATAAAGAGTTTTTATTGGAGGAGATTTAAAAAGACATGTTAATAGAAGGATAAAAAATTCATGGTGGCTTCAGATTTAGAACAACTATTAAAGGTAGGGGACGCATATTGGATTTAACTCTAACTTATAATTTTATAATTGTTAATAACTTAAGAAAAGTGAGAAGCACCTTTTCACTTATAAAAATACAACAACAACAGCAAGCCTTTATCTCACTATATGGGATCATCTACATGAATCTTTTTTCTCCATCATGTCATCTAAAGAGTCAAATTCTCATTTAAATCAAATAAAAAAAAGATTATTTCTAATATTTTCTAACCAAGTCATTTTAAGTCTACCTCTACCTTTCTTAATATAAGCCAATTTTAATACATCTGCTCTCCTAACCAACTCATCAAAAGATTGAGGTTTTATGTGACCAAACCATCTAAGGCGACTCTCTCTTATCTTATTTTCCACTGGAGCTACTCCAACTTTTCAAATATGTGTGTTTCATATTCTACCTCTAAAATTAAAGTCACTCATCCACCGAGGCATCCTCATCTCTGCAATACTTAATGTTATGCTTCTTTTTTAATGGTCGACATTCTGTGACATAAAGCTATACAAGTCTCACCACTATCTTATAGAATTTTCCCTTAAGTTTGAGGGGTATTATTCTATCACACAACAAGCATGATGCATTCCTCCACTTCAACCATCCAACTTAAATTCTACTAATAATATTCCTATCTATTTCATCATCACTCTGAACAATGGATCCAAGATGTCTAAAATATGTACGCTTATAATGACTTGATCACCCAAAGTCACAATCCCCCCACTAGATTTATACTACTAAAATTACTCTACATATATTCGGTTTTAGATCTACTCAAACTAAAATCTTTAGACTCTAAACTTAACCTCCATAATTCAAGTTTACATTTAACTCCCTCTGTATTCATATTAAAAACACTGCTGTTGCCAGGTCCCAAGTCCTGGATGAGAAAAGTGGAGGGTTGCGTTAGTTAGTCGACAGCCAGCGTAAAACTTGTCGAACAATAATGACATGAATCCTTTAAGAAATTGTGTTAATGCTAGGGCGTCCCCTGGAAGCGACACGCTGTATGGCCTGAATATAGTGACAAGTGTGCAAGGGCTGCTGCACCGGCGCCCAGGTGCAGTGTTAAATAGGCAATGGTCCCCACATCAAGGACGGATGTGGGCAAAGAAGCTAGTCCATGAAACAAAAATTAGGATAGGAATTTGAAATATAAGTTCCCTTACAGGAAAATTATGGAATTAATAGATATTATGATTCATAGGAAGTTAAATATTTTCTACATTCAGGAAACTAAATGGGTTGGAGATAAAGCTAAGGAAATTGATAGTTTAGGATTTAAACTTTGGTATTCGAGTAAGAGTCGTACTAGAAATGCTGTAGGTGTTATTATAGATAAGAGTTTAAAGGATAATGTTATAAAAATTAATAGGATTGGAGATAAAATTATATTAAAGATTGTTGTTGATGATAAGATTGTTAATATTATAAGTGCTTATGCTCCTCAAGTAGATTTGGATATGAGTTCTAAATTAAATTTTTGGAATGACTTAAAACAATTAATACAAAATATACCTCTTGAAGAAAGAGTTTTTATTGGAGGAGATTTAAATGGACATGTTGGTAGAGAGGTAAATGATTTTAAAAGCATTCATGGTGGCCATGGATTTGAAACGACGAATGAAGGTAGGAAGATCAATTGCTAATACCTTATTTAAGAAAAGGAATGAGCATCTCATCACTTAAAAAAATGATATAGTACAACCCAGATTGACTATTTTCTTATTAGAAAATTAAATTGTTTAGATTGCAAAGATTGTAAAGTTATTCCGAATGAAAATTTATGTACCCAACATCGATTATTAGTTTTGGACTTTAAGATAAAGGGGCATAAAATAAAAAATAAAGTAAAATAATTTTCTAGGATTAAATGGGGGCATTTAAAGAATATTAACAAAAATATTTTTGGAAATAAGATTTTAGATCTTAAGATTTTGTCTGTGTATTAGGATGCTAATATTATGTGGGAAAAAGTGGCTAGTGATATTAAGAATATTGCAAAAGATGTCCTTTGAGTATCAAAGGGAAAAGCTCCAAAGCATACTAATGTTTCTCAAAATCAATTTGGATTCATGTCGGGTAGGTCGACTATGGAAGCCATACATTTATTAAGAGGTTTGATGGAGAAATATAGAGAAAATAAGGAGAATCTACATATGATATTTATTGATTTAGAAAAAGCATATGATAAAGTTCCAAGAGAAGTGCTATGGAGAGTTCTTGAAAAGAAAGGAGTTAATAATGCTTATATTCAAATCATTAAAGATATGTATGCAGGAGCTATTACTTGTGTTCAAACACAAGGTGGATTGACCAAGTATTTTCCTATTTCGGTTGGGTTACATCAAGGATCAGCCTTAAGCCCATATCTTTTTGCTTTAGTCATGGATGTTCTCACTAGACATTTGCAAGAGGATGTACCTTGGTGTATGCTTTTTGCTGATGATATTCTTCTTGTTGATAAGACTAGAGAGGGAGTTGAAGGTAAACTTGAATTATGGAGGTCAACCTTAGAGTCTAAAGGTTTTTGCTTGAGTAGATCTAAAACGGAATATATTGAGTGTAATTGGAGTGTAATTTTAGTAGTAAAGGGGATTGTGACTTTGGGCGATCAAGTCATTAATAAGAGTACACGTTTTAGATATCTTGGATCTATTGTTCAGAGTGATGGTGAAATAGATGGGGATATTATCAGCAGAATTCAAGTTGGATGGTTGAAGTGGAGGAATGCATCGGGCTTGTTATGTGATAGAAATGTACCCCTCAAATTTAAGGGAAAATTCTATAAGATGGTAGTGAGGCCTACTATGCTTTATGATGCCGAATGTTGGCCTTTAAAAGAGAAGCATAATACTAAGTTAAGTGTGGCAGAGATGAGGATGCTCAGGTGGATGAGTGGCTTTACCCTTATAGATAGGATACGAAATGAGCATATACGTGAAAAGGTTGGAGTAGCTCCAGTAGAAGATGAGATTAGAGAAAGTCGCCTTAGATGGTTTGGTCACATAAAACGGTGGCCTTGCGATGACCCGGTTAGGAGAGTAGAGGTATTAGATTTGACTTATGTTAAGAAAGGTAGGGGTAGACCTAAAAAGACTTGGTTAGAAAATATTAGGAATGACC